ATATATATATATATATATATATATATATATATATATATATATATATATATATATATATATATATATATATATATACACACACACACACACACATGCCTATATATATGTAAGGCCGGCACGAAAGAGGTGAGAGACACCCCCCTCATCAATGAACTTTTTGTTTGTGGACTTTTTAGACCAGTAAGTCGGCAAATTTTAAAAAATGAGGACCTTTTTGTTTTAGTTAAAAATGTAAATGGTACCACCCACCCCTCATGCGACACCTACTTGCACCGGCCCTTGGCGTGAGTAGGTGACACGTTGATTTTGTCTTTTTCTTCAACGAATTTATTCGAAAAGTGTCGCTGCAGAACAAAAACTATTCACTGTATATAATTTTAATAAAAAGTCATAGAAATAAACAAAACTACTATTACCATCCTAAAACAATTATTATTCTATATTCATTCTTAAATTTTTTTAAAAAATAGCTTGAAATCATATTTTCTGAGCATTAAATATCAAACGGAAATATAATATATGGAACAATATATGGTTGTACTACTTCTCGTTATTCACACGCTATATTCAGTCTTCCTAAAGGTCAGGATGACTATAATGTTGAATGGAGAAGAAAATTGATAGAGATTATCACAAACGATCGTTAGATTGATTCAGCATTAAGAAAACAAATTGCCAGCGAATCTTTATATGTATGCGAAAGGCATTTTGAAGATCACGAAGTTAATAGAAGTAAGCTATGTGTTCACATATTCAAGTGTGTGTGTGTATATATATTAGGTACGTGACATGAAATTTTTAAATTAATCAAACATTAGATTGTTGTATATCGTTGGAAAGGTCTTCAATTCAGTATTTTAAAGGTGAGAAAATTATCAAAATTGAACAATTCTACAAAAAGTTATGATATTTTAAGTACTGATTTTTTGATATATGGATTTCTTAATAACTCTGAGATCAAATTTTAAGTTTTTTTCACTTAAAACGTCATAACTTTGTCAATTCTTATCAAAATACATACAACTTGGTATCAAAAGAAAGGTCTTACAAAGGGCAATATCTATATACAAAGTATGTATAAAGGGCGCTAGAGGGGCGTCTAAAATTATTTTAGTATGAATTCAGTAAAAAAAAAAAAGTTACAAAATTATTTAAATATATTTACCAAGCTCCTCTCTTTAGCGAGGTAAAAATTACAAATTTTAAAGAAACATAGGCAATATTACAGCATTTAGAACTAATTGGTTAATTCTAAAATTAAAATGAAATATTTTTACCAATCTGAAATAAAATAATTTTTTTTTATGTAAGTTTTTTAAGATTTTGTATTTCTGCCCTTAAAGCTTTAATTATTTTTTCTTTTCTTTTAACATTTTGTCTTAGAACACGTAATTGTTTTGGCATGCTTTTTAATTTAGCTTTTAATAGTGCTATCTTGCTCTGACGTTTTTTGTAAGAGTTAGCTAACCGAGAAGACAAGTAAGATAGCCTACCTTTTAGTTTTTGTTTTATAGGGCTTAATTTCTCTCTAAATATATGTTTAGTTATATCTTGTTCGCTATAACCTGCAAATGTTGAGGGTCCACTTGTTAAATCAGATAAAACATTCATATTGGCATATGAAACATGTGAAGAGCCTGATGATAATACAATGTTAGGCAAACTTGATATATGGCTTAAAAAAAGTTTATTGCAAAAGTCAACAAAACGCTTACTGTCCTCAGGCCTGCTAAAATTTCTAGCCCAATTTAATAATTTATTTATGAGACTCCGAACCTGATTTTTACATGTTTCTATCTTAAAATGTTTAGTGACTTGTTGAGATGTTTTGAGAAACGAATCTTTATTTTTTGTAAATAAGAAAAAAGTATGTCCATTTCTACAAACTGTATTACACTCTGTAATAGAGTCAATTCAAAATTAACAGTTAAATACTTTTTGCGTTCACCATAAAATAAAACTTCGTTTTTGGCCCCATGATAGCTAGAAAAAAAAATTAATTGTTATAAATAAAAAATAATATATTTAAATCATGGTAAATAAAAAGATATTACAATTGCTACATTGCAATAACTACATTGCAATTAACTACATTGCAACTATTTAGTACAATTAAATAATCTATATTCAACATCATTATTGTTATTACTAGTACATTCTACCCCTCCTCACTGGAAGTGTACTGCATTATTGAAGTTAAAACAGTTATCTAATTGGAGTATAGTATTAAGGTGCCTGAGTATGTTTTTTTTTCGATGAAATTTGGCAGGTAGTAAGAACAAAGGTTTTTAATGTTGACAGAATATATTAGAAAAATAAACCAGCATTTCTTCGATATATACTCGATGTCCAAACAACAACAAATTTTTACCTAATTGGAGAAGAGTATTAAGGTGCCTGAGTATGCTTTTTTTTCAATAAAATTTAGCAAGAAGTAAGAAAAATGGTTTTTAAAGTTGATCGAATATATTAGAAAAATAAACCAGCATTCCTTCGATATACACTTGATGTCCAAACAACAACAAATTTTTACCTAATTGGAGTAGAGTATTAAGGTGCCTGAGTATGCTTTTTTTTGGATGAAATTTTGCAAGAAGTAAGAAAAATGTTTTTTAAAGTTGAGAGAATATATTAGAAAAATGAACCAGCATTCCTTCGATATATACTTGATGTCCAAAAAACAAGCAAATTTTTAACAACAATAAATTCATAATAAATAAAATTTTAACTCAAAGAAATTCATGAAAAAACTAAAGTTCCATAATTCTATTATTCAAAAAATATCTATGTCGATACATATTTCTAAAAAATAACAGAGCAAAACAAGTTCATACCATGCAACTTTTCAACTAACTTGAAAAAGCGTGTCACAGAACTTGGCCGAAAAAACGGCTCCGTAAAATCCGGATTTACGCGTACCTATTTAAATGTTAACAAATATTTTATTATTTAAAAAAACAAAACATTAAGTCACAAGAATCTCTTGAAGTTTATTTCTTATAACGAACCTTTTAAGATTCTTAGAAGATTAATAAATATTGCTTCTTTTTTTTATTTTTATAATTTAAAAAAGTGGAAAGATAATATCAATAACCTTTTTTTATTCTGTCAAACGATGCCATTTTAAGGAAAATGTCCTTGCTTTCACATACAAATTCAAGATATCTTCAAGAACATTTAAACAAACTTCTTTATTAACAAAAGTATCAGTTTCACTTCTAATTCTTGAAAAATTAGATAAAACATTTGTATCTTTAAGAAGTGAGGATAGAATATCTTTGCTGTCAAATTTATTGATAGACTTACTAACCATTTTTTTAAAGGTTGTTTCAGCGGTAATAAAAATATAAATTTCCTCAATTTTTATTTTCATCTGTTACGCGTGTTAACAAGTTTGTGCTCAGGCAAATCATCGCTTCCTTGATATTTAGCAGCAAGTAAAATTGATATATACTGTTGATAGTATTCTTCCTTAAAAATATCTGAAAACCTGATATGACGATATAATGTGCTAAAAACATAGCCACATAAATTGGCAATAACAGATCGATCCCTATTTGAAAGTACAAAACCCTTCCCAGATGAAATTGTATCATTTTGAACTGATTGACCAGAAAGATGCGACAATATATGGTTACACACTTCAAAACCAAGTAATGTGGAACACTGTGTATTTAATCCTATAAAAATTTAATCAATTTTGTCAAAGATACATTTGTAAAAATTTGGATAAAACTTTTAGCTAGTATGCTGTGTTAGCTATATCAAAATTAATCACATAAGCTTTAAAATGATTTTGTACGGACTCAAAACAATTATCTGATGAAAGCTTTGCAACACTTCTTTTTTTAATATATCTGAAAGTCTTCAAGATTAAGAATTTCGTCTGATTTTTTAGTTTTTCTAATATTTGATGAAACGTTAGAATGACTTGATAAAACATCGGAATGTTTACTATTTACGTGACGAGTGAGACCTCTAGAGCTTAAACATTTCTTGTTACAAAATTGACAGCAAAGTGTTATTTATGGAATATCTGAAGCATGTTGTTCTTCAGCAACGTCATTTAACAAACCCTGGTCAATAACTTCAAAAATAGAATCAAGCTCGTATTGATGCAACTCAAAAATAGTCTCAAAATTATTCAAATCTTTTGAACTTTCAGCCATCATAAAAGTTTGTTTTGCACCTTATTTACAAAGACCACCCGATTTTCAACTTAAACAATGAAAACAATTAAAAACGGCCTGCGTTTCCAGACTATACTTTTTATGAATATGGACGAAGCTTTTTTTTGGTCATTGTTGCCATCCTAACTATGCACGGGGCTTTTTTTTGGTCATTGTTGCCATTCTAACTAACCTCTGAGCAGAAGCCTCATTTTATATTACTTTTTTCTAGGTCTAGGGGTGTTTTCAACTAATTCCACCATACTATTAAGTAAGTAGAGTTTGATTATAATTTTATTTTTGAATTTAAATCTGCTTATTCGGAAGGTCAAAGGTACACACAGGTACAGTACCCCACTATACCCGGTATTAAAAAACAAATCATCCCCGTAATTTTGAATACAAAAACAAATATTTCTAGATTAAATTTTCTGTTTTTTATTATATTAACATAAAACTAATAATTTATATAACTGTAATTGCATATATAAACAAAATATTCTTCATGCAAAAAATAAAAGATATAAAAATCTGTTTAGCTCATCTAAATTTTTTATATATAAATTAAAATATAAAAATATTACATATTATGTTTGATTTTAAAGCCAAAAATATAAAAAATTTAAGTATTTAGTATGCTAGTATTAAGGATAAGAAAATGTGTATAAAAAAACGTTAAAATGTAAAAAACGTATAGACAATTTATTACAAAATTTTAGGGAAAAAAAAAGACAAAATATGCGAATTCAAAAAAATTAAAAAAAACAAACAAACTGTAACTAGAAATAAACTAGAAAATTTCTAGTTATAGACTAAAAAGTCTATAACTAGAAAACCAATTATAAAATATTGGGGGGAACAAAGGATAAAAAAATCCAAATTCATAAATTTTTAAATAAGAACACAATCGTTAATAACTAGAAGTTATCATAGTTAACAAAAGTCTATATTTTTAATTTTAGTCAATTTTAATCTATTCATATATATTAAACTATTTTAATAAAAAATCATTATATAATTATAGTGTAAATTATTATAAAATTATTGCATTATAATATTTTTATTATTTAGTCAAAATATTTTCTGAGTTAACGTCGTTTTTATTCTTTTTTTGAAAAGTAAGACAATGATTTTAACCAATCATGCGTATCTAAATCAGTTTCACCTTTTAACTTCCACTCGAGATCCTCTTGGATAATATTAAAAGAGGAACTATCCATTGAATCAACCAATATGCGACAGCCTTTTATATATAAACTACCAGTAACCTTTCCATTTGTTTTTTTATAATACTGAAGGTACCCGTTGTCGGTTAATTCAAAAAATAAACGATCCCATTTTGGTAAGCGTTTTTTATTACCACTAAATTTAAACAAAAAACCAGACTTTGTCGGTAAAAAGCTGTTGTCGTCATTTAGTTCAGTAGTTTGATTTAGCTCAAAATAATAAACTTTCGTGTTTTCGATTTCAGATTGACACGCCACATTATTATTTTCACTAGGTTCTTTACTTATTAAGTCAGACATCACATTTGAATGTTTGTTGGTATGTTGATTTAAGGGTTTGTAGTTTAAATTGCTTTTTTTTTGGAGATTAGTGATTGCATTTTCAACCTTCTGCTGCACTATATTTTCATCCTTCTGCTGCACTATATTTTCACTGCGAGACTCGTTAATTGTAATTTGGTCCAACTTTTTACAATAAGACTCAACCGCAACTTGCAAACATTTTAGGAAACTTCCTATTCCACTTAGCCAAGCTTCAAAGTTCGTAGTAGATGATTCGCCAAATTTTTTTTTTAGTAAAACTGAAATTTCTATTATATTTTTACATGTTATTTCTAAGTTCTCGACAATTTTTGAATATTCTTCAACAAACGAGGCTATATACTGACTTAAGGTATAATTAAGTTCTTCTTTGATTCCTTTTTGCTTAGTGCTTAGTGACTGTAATTCTTTATGCATTAATTGAACTTCAGCAAAAAAACTTTTTAATGAAAAGTCAATTGGATTAGTCAAAATAGATAAGTCTTTATAACAAGTTACAGCATCTCGATCTTTCACCCAAAGTTCTTCAACAATGTGATCAAGCAACGTGTACTTTTTGTTCGAGCTTCTAACGTCAACGAGTCGGTTTAGAACATCTAACTTAAAACCGTAAGCTCTTCCACGAACAGTTCCGCCATTCATGTAATTACCGTAGGCTAAAACAAACTCAAGTAATCGTAAGAAATTCTTATTTTCATTCAAACACAAACAAGCATTCATAACATTTTGAATAGGAGTCTGTATTACTTCAATTTCACTAGGAAGTTCTCGCAATGTCAGTAAAACATCCAACCGTGTCGCCAAATTTGGAATATTGCAGAGTTTAATCATAAACTTGTCGGCATCAGTAAGTAAACTTTTTTCTCCTTTAAATGATTTGTACATTTCTATTTCTTCAGCTGAAGGCTGAAATCTCCTGAGCCCAATAATTTCCTCAGAAGTTAATGAACTTTCTCCTTCAACGATAGTTAACTTTTCGTTTATGTCAACCTCGTTAAGTTTAAATCCACTTAAGAATATACTTAAATTCTGAGCTTTTCGTTGATCAAGAAGAGATATATTCTGAGATTTTGGAAAGTCGGTTTCATCCTTCTTTTGTTCAACTTTGTCGTTTTGATGGTGAAATACACTTTCTAACTTTTTAACATCAATGTTATTTATTTGATCAAGAGAGTCTTTCCAAAAAGACGAAGTAATTTCTATTTCAGGTATCTTACTCCAAAACAATGGTTTCATCTTACAAGTTGGAACAATATCTGTTTTCAATGGTAAAAATGACGCCCCAATACCAAACATTGGCGGGGGCGGAGGTGGGGGTGGGATGTTTGCAGTACTTATAAACTGTTCTCCTTCAAATTGTTTGATATTGGAATTGGAAATGTTTTGAGTGTCTGTTTTCTCTAAACTCAAAGTTACGTTTGATGGAATGTTTGCAAAAACGTTATTTTTATTATTTAACTCATTAGAAGATTTCTCATTAGATATTTTCTCTGGAACAGAATCATTAACAGCTTTATCTGTATTATGTAAAGGTTTGTTTACTCTATCGATGTTTGAAATGTCTGTGTAAAGTTTTTGTGGAAGAGGTGGAGGTATGTCTAAAGATGAGCAAGTATCAAATGAATTCGATTCACAAGGTAAATGTTTGCTAACAGCCTTATTTACTTTTGCATAATTTGGTAAATTAGAAGACATATTTTGAACTTCATTTGGTTTTGACGGTAAAAGTATTCTCATATATTCTTCATCTGAAATTTCTGATCGTGTTTGCTGATGTACAAAATTATCTTGTAATGGTTCAACTATGGCACTGGATGGGATATGTAATGGTTCACTGGATGGGATAATTGATGGTATAAAGTTATTTAAAGAAGTATGCTGAGAATTTTCATATTCATTACTTGATGATTGAGAATTTTTTGGAATAGGTGCACTATTAGCAACACTGCGTAAAGTCGATGAAAACAGTCCAGTTTTAATTTGGTCATTTAATGAACAAATAATGTCTCGAACTTTCTTGACTTGCTCTGAGGCACGAATAGGTGCATCAATAATATTTAAAATTACACCAAGTTGCTCAAGTTCAATATTAAGTGAGTTTACTAAACTTTTTAGGTAAAATTCTTGATCAAAAAGTGATTTTATTTGATTACCAACTTCTGCTCCAGGTAACTTTTGAGCTTGTTGAATAGCTATTAACCAACTGTCACGCTCTTTTTCAGTATCAACATGCTTTGGAAAACAAATTCGAAACGAATACTCTTTATTTTTTGATAACAAACTAAACCCAAAATCATCTTGTTTTCTCAAAACAACATCACCTTGTCTTAATGGAACAATACCTAACGCTAAACTTTCATTATCTTCGTCACCAACCTTAAAATACATCATTTCTCCGGGAAAAATTCGAACAAAACGTTTTGTCCATAACAAGAAAGCAGCACTATGCCCTTTTTTCTCCAGAACTCCTTCTAATAACACAGAGTTTCGTTTTGTTAAAAATCCGCTTGATTGACTTGTTCCTTGTTCTGCTTGACTGATAATTGACAAAAGCAAACGTGATATTTCATTTTTATCTTCCAAAGAACCTGGATCAACTTCTAATTCAGACCCATTTTTGAACTGAATAAGAATCCTTGTTGAGTCATCAACAGTTTCTATGCTTTTAATCAATGTAAATTCATAGCTTCTTTTTTTAAACCCACGATGCAGCAAACACAAAGAATTTTCTTGGAAATCTAATTGTAATATATATTTAACTGTCTTGTTGTTAAATCCATACTTGTATACACCAAAATTATAGATCTCTCCTAATTTATCCTGTAAATTTTCATTCGAGACATTTTCATATTGGGTAGTTGTAATCCCTAGAATGTGAGCTTCATTTACAGCCTCCTCTGCAGATAGCTTGCCTAAAATAAATTATTCTCATAAGAGAACCAATTAGAAAATAAATTATGCAAAAATATTATACGAATCGTTCCTTCAATTCAATACAAATATTTTTACCTTCTTTTACCATATTCATAAGTTGTATTCGTTTATCATCTCCATACTTAAATGATTTTTTGAAATCATTAGTTAGCACTGGTTGGGATGTTTTTCGACGGAATGAAAATTTCCAAGACATATTTAATAAATATACTTCTTCATTTCCAAGACATATTTAATAAAAATGTTTCATTTCATTATAGTTGATCTGAGAAAAAAATATTTTAAATGATTCAAATTTTGCAATAACCATAATTGTATGTGCAGATTATTTATACAAAGAAATTGTGCAAAATAATTTATGAAGAGTAAATGTTTATTACAAAAAAACTTAAACTATTAAAGAAATTTATGCAAATCTAAATTAAATTATGCAAATAAAATATCAAAAAAATAATAATTCAAATTGATAATGGCCACTCAGCTTTGGGAGATAAAAATATATACATATACATTTTGCATAATATAATCATATGCTAAAATTTCAAATTCATTTTTCTAAAAGTTAAATTAATTCTTGGATTCGGGCATGTCTTTACCGATCGCTTTGGTAAAGAGTGGTACCACAAATCATTTGTTGGCGGATGCATTATAAGCAGACTTCCATGTCCCAGATGAAATGTCACATTTTCATATGATTTATTGCTTTTATTTTTCTTATACTTAAAAATAAAGTCTCGGTCTTGACCAAAAGAAAATGAGGCTATTGGGGCATGAGCATCTAAATCTTTTTCATTATCTTGATGGAAACCCATATAGTCATTTCCATTATCATATCTGTTAACTAATACAAAGTTGAAAGATGTCATCGTTAGTTGTTCAGCAATTTCTTTTAACTTCTGCATAAAAGGTAACCAAGATTGAGCAAAAACAGTAACACCAGAAAAAGTATAACTTAAACCTTGATCACCAAATGCTGTTTGTTTTCTCGGCACATTGATAAATTTACCAAACATCTTAACCTGGCTACTTTTATCATAAACAATATTTTTTTCAAGTGTCTGAAATATCTGGTCAGCCTCTTTTTTATCAAAAACAACACCATATTGGACAAACAATTCCTTGTGGGATATATTCTTCATTCGACCATATAAACATTCAAAATTAGGCTTTTCTTGAGTTTTGGATTCATGGCTATCAGAGAAGTAAGAAGTGATTTTTCGTTTATTCCTAGTTGTTAACATTTTCTAAAAGATTTATTAAAATTACTCATCATCATCATCATCATCATCCTCATCCTCATCATCACCATCATCATTATCATCATTATCATCATGATTGTCATCATTATCCTCATCATCATCATCATCATCATCATCATCATCATCATCATCATCATCATCATCATCATCATCATTATCATCATTATGAATGTTATCATCATCATCATCATCATTATCATCATCATCATCATCATCAATCTTCATCATCATCATCATCATCATCATCATCATCATCATCATCATCATCATTATCATCATCATCATCAACAGTAGCAGCAGCACCATCATCAAATATGAGCAAAATTAAAAAAATATATTTTTTACGAAAATTTATTAAAAAAAAAAATGAATTAAAATATTAAAACTGAAAAAAAAAATTGATATTAAGAATGAAGTTGTAAAGCATCTTTGGGCAAGTTTCTTAATAAACTTCTTCCATTCCAATTGTTTAATAAAAAAAACCACCATTTTAAGTCTTGCAATTCATTTTCAGTTAATCGAACTTGAGACCATAAATGGTCAACGCTATGAGCTTTTAGTAATAGTCGCTTTAAAAAAGGGCGACCAGGGATAATTGCTTGACAACAATAAAATAAAACTCCAATTAAAGATAACAAGTCTCGCTTTGTACCATGTCTTTTTATGCACCATTCATCAAGTAATGCTCGAATTTTAACAAGCTTCAATTCAGGTATTCTTAACTCCAATTTAGTAGTATCAATAATAAAACCTAAGAATGTTATGCATGTTGCTGGACCTTCAGTTTTAGTATGCTCAATTAAAATACCTAATTCTTTGCATATTTCAAAAGCTTTATCCAAAGATTCTCCACAAACCTTTGAATTGGGAGGCCCACATATTAGAAAATCATCCAAAGAATGTTGTATGTATTTAATTTCTCCGTGGTATGCTAAGATCCATTCAAGTACATTAGAAAATCTTGTAAACGTTTGTGGAGCACTGCGAGCCCCAAATGGTAATGCAAGATCTACATAATAACATCCTTTCCAATTTAGCACAAGCAACCTACGCTCATCTTCTTTAATAGCTATTAAACGATAAGCTCGCTGAATGTCAAACTTGGCAAGAAGACATCCTTCACCCAATAAAAGAATTTTTTTTATAGCTGCTGTTAATCCAGTGTATGAAACAGTTGAGTCAGCAGCAGATATACCATCATTTACACTTCTACCTGGAGGATATGACAAATCAGTAATTAATCGCCATTTGCCTGAAGATTTAGGAATAACTCCAAACCTATTGATGTGACAATCTTCAAATGGTGGTTGGTAAAAAGGACCAGCCATTGTTCCAAATTTTATTTCATCTATTAAATACTGATCAATTATTGCAGGTTCTTCATAAGCAGATGCTAGATTACGTTTTGCAGAGGATAAAGCAGCCAATGGATTGCAATAGAGTGAAAATCCATTAGCAATTCCATTTAAAAGCCAATCTTTATCTTCTAAATGGAAGTCTTGAAGGTAATATTTCCAGCAATCCAATTTTAGAGTTGTGACTTTAGAAGGAGGCGGCATTCTTAACGGTGGTGTTTCAAAAGCAATGTTATTTCCTAAGGAGAAATATTGTCTTTATAAGTTTTATAAATTATATAATCTTGTCTAATATATATATATATATATATATATATATATATATATATATATATATATATATATATATATATATATATATATATATATATATATATATATATATATTTATAATGTTAATTCACAAGGCCGAAAAGGCCTTGTGAATTAACATTATAAATATACTACACTATATACTACACTACAGACGAGAAGGCTACTTAAGTGTGGTTAACCCTCTCTCAATTCTATAACTCCAAAACACAAACCTTGCTGAACAAGGCCACTGTGAATTAAGTTGAGCGCAGTAATTCCAGGGATGTGGCAGGAATTGAACTCGGAACCTCTTGCTTATATAATTATAAGAGTATATATATATATACTCTTATAATTATTTATTTTTAATATTACTTTAGCTTTATTAAATTGCAACTTAAACTACAAATATTCTATATAAACTGTATTTATTTACAAAATGGTATTTAAAATATAACTTTTAGTAATAAGGGTAGAATGTAAGAAGCGAACTTGAAATTCGAAGTCATACTTCAATTCTAAAATTTTACTTGAGTAAATGCAAAGAGCAAACTTGAACTCGAAGTCTGACTTGAAAACTTGAGTCTAACTTGAAAACCAGCCATTTTCAAGTTAGACTTGAAAAGCCAACTTGAAAAAGCAAAATCTTTTCTGAATACAAGAAGCAAACTTGAAATCTGTAGTCTGACTAAAGTTTTATGCAACAAACTTGAATTCATTTTTGAAAAATCTAATTTCAAGTCGTTTTTTTAAGTTAGGTACCAACCAGTCTTGGAACCAAACTTGAAATAAAAAAACAAACCGCCATTATCATTTTGTATAATATGCGGTAAAAAGTTACATGGAATTTATATATATATATATATATATATATATATATATATATATATATATATATATATATATATATATATATATATATATATATATATATATATATATATATATATATGTATATAAATATATATATACATATATATATATATATATATATATATATATATATATATATATATATATATATATATATATATATATATTGTATATATACATTGTTTATATATATATATTTTTTATATACATTGTTTATATATATGTGTGTATATATATATATATACATATATATATATATATATATATATATATATATATATATATATATATATATATATATATATAAATATATATATATATACATATATATATATATATATATTGTATATATACATTGTTTATATATATATATTTTTTATATACATTGTTTATATATATGTGTGTGTATATATATATATATATATATATATATATATATATATATATATATATATATATATATATATATATGTATATTTCATATACTGACAATATATGTGTGTGTTTAGACACACATACATATATTCAGTGTATATAATATATACATATATATAGTGTATATAGTATAAGTTATAATTATAAAATTATTAAATATACAATTATGTGTATATGTGTGTGTGTGTGTGTGTGTGTGTGTGTGTGTGTGTGTGTGTGTGTGTGTGTGTGTGTGTGTGTGGCACTATAGAGGATATATATCAACTATTGCTTCTTTTTATGAATTTAATGTTTTATATATAAACAGTATTTTTAAATTTGATGAACTTTTTTAGATTTAATGAACTTTGACGATTTCCAGGATATATTGGAGCAATAGATGAAGCATATCCTATAACAAGTCCTGGAGAAAATGCAGATTTGTTTCAAAACAGAAAAGGATATTTTTCTTTGAACAGCCAAATAATTAAAGGTCCTTAAAAAGAAATTTTGTCTGCTTGTATTCAATGGACTAGATGTGTTTATGAATCATGAGATTTTACCAACTCAGCCATTAAAAAGTTTTTAGAAGCTTATCCGCACTTCCATGTTATAGGGGACAACACCTCATATTGTTAGCACTGGTGTGACCATGAAATGTTGTTTGGGAATTTAATTAAAGTATGCTTTATAGACAAAACCAAAAACTTTTATAGATATTGTATCGTGCTTTGCTCACAACATTACCTTTTAACAAAATGATCATTAGGTAAACGATTAAATTTAAAATTATAACGAGGAAAATGGTTTCAAGGCATAAACATGAGGTTTTGTAGGAAAAATTGAAATAGTGACTCGATTCTTTTTATAAATACTTAACTTATCAAAGAATAAAAACAATAATAATCGAAAAGTATCAACAAAAAAAATCTTTTTTATTGATAAAGTAAATAAAGAACTTAATCTGAAAAAAAAAGTATTATCTTGGAAATAAGAATAACATTCAAAAACATAGAAATGCTCTTATAAAACAATCCCTTATAATTGTGTTTATTAAAATTGGGGTATTAATATGTAACTTGTCAATATTTTTTGAAATTTTTTATTTTGATTTCATAATAATTTTGTTATCTTTTTGGCTTTCTGGTACCTCAAGTTTTCTGATAATATCATAAGACCTTACTTCAAATATGAACTTCTGTGACTTGTCATTTATTATATAATAATATTGATAAATATATATATATATATATATATATATATATATATATATATATATATATATATATATATATATATATATAATAATAATAATAATAATAATAGCAATAATAATAATAATATTGATAAAATGCCATAAGTTAAGTTTGTTTTGTATCGGTAGTTGTATCCTAATAATTTACTATCAATTTTTAAGTTTTTTGAAACTTAAATAATTTAAATTCCAAAATTGCATAATCCCCATAAAATTTTAAAATAGAATTAAATGATTTTGTTGCAATATTTGCAAAATGTTGTCTCTTATTAGGATATTATAGTTTATTCAGGCCAGTTTCACCAGTCTTCTTTTTCCTCTCTTTTACTAAAATTCAAAAAATAAATAGGTTTATTTAACCGAAACTGAGGGGCAAATGTTTCAAAGAATCCTTATTTTACATAAGTTTGAATATATATATGTTTGGATTTGTAAGAATTCAAAAACTAGGTTTGAACCCACAGAATACTCTTTTATGTGCTTTTATTTAGCACTACTTCACTCTATCACCTTTCACTTTATTCTATATCGCTCTCCTTCATCTCAAGACTTCACTCTTCTTGATTTTATTTCTGATTATATTGACCAAGCCTTCTCTCTTTATCCATCAGCCAATATTGTTGTTGCCTGTGACTTTAATGTTCATCACGCTGAATGGCTTGGCTCTAGTGTCAGTGACTCTGCAGGCATTAAAGCCCACAACTTTTGTCTTTCTCAATCCCTAACTCAAATAGTCAACTTTCCAAACCGCTTTCCAGACAACCCCAATCATACACCTTCACTACTCGACTTATGTCTTGTTTCTAATCCTAGTCAGTGTTTAGTTTCTCCACATTCACCCTTATGTGCCTCTAATTATAGCTTGATCTCTCTAAAACTATTATCTCATTCTTCTTTATCATCAGAATCCTCCTATCATCATACATCTTACAACTACCTTAAAGCTGACTGGGACACTTTCCGTGATTTTCTTCGTGATGGCCCTTGGGTAGAAATCTTTCGTCTTCCTGTTGACAAATGTGCTTCTTCCAAAACTTTGTGGATTCAGGCTGGCATATAATCCTTTATTCCCTCTTGACGATTCCAGGTCAAACCTCACTCTTCTCCATGTTTTTCCTCACATTATGCTGCTGCAAATGCCAATCGAAACCATTACTTCCATATCTATCAGCAAAAAAATTCTCCATAAAATATACGCCTGTTTATTACTGCTAGGAACCATTGTAAAAAGGTTTTGTCTAATGCCAAAGCCCGTTATTCTCAGGTCACGAAATCTCGTATTTTATTACAAAAATTAGGTTCTCTTGACTTCTGGAGAATCTTTAAGAGTATCAATAATAAGAGGAAGTCTGTAATTCCACCTCTTTTGTATGGTTCAGACTTTGTCACTTCACCTAAAGAGAAAGCTGAATTATTTGCTAAGAACTTTTCATCAATATCATCTCTTGATTCCACTAGTTGAGTTCAACCTGATATAACCATCAAACAGGTTGATCCATTGCTTGAATTCGTATCACTCCAACTTCTGTATCTAAAGTGATTTCCTGCTTATACTCTTCTAAAGCTTGTGACCCAGACAGCATATCTGTTATAATCTTGCAGAAGTGATCTCCAGAGCTGTCGCCTATCCATTCAAAACTATTCAACAAGTGCTTATCAGAGTCTTGTTTTCCAGCTTGCTGGAAAGCGGCATCTGTTATCCCTATTTTTAAAAATTCTGGAGAGTGATCTGATTTGTCTAACTACCGTGCCATTAGTCTTCTTCCTATCATAAGCAAGGTTTTTGAATCTTTAATTAACAAACACTTAATTTCTCATCTTGAATCTAATAACTTTCTGATCATCAATATGGATTTCGATCTTTTCCTTCTACGGCTGATTTGCTAACAGTAATAACTGATAGGTTTTATCATGCATTATATAAAGGTGGAGAGGTTAAGGCCATCGCTCTTGACATTTCTAAAGTGTTTGATAAAGTTTGGCATGCTGGTCTTCTCCATAAGCTATCTTCTTATGGTGTATCTGGAAACATCTTTAAGATTATTGAACCCTTCCTTTCCAATCATAGTATAAAAGTTGTCTTGATGGAAAGCACTCTTCTTTTTATTATGTAACCTCAGGGGCTCCTCAAGGTTCAATTCTTGGCCCTATACTCTTTTTAATTTACATTAATGATCTTCCAGATATTCTCACATCTAAGGTGACATTGTTTGCTGATGATACTACCATTTATTCTTGTCATGATAAGAAGCCAACTCCCTCTGATTGCTTGGAGGGGGTATTTGAGCTTGAATAGGATCTCACTTCTGCTACAGCATGGGGCTCACATTGGCTGGTGAACTTTAATTCAGATAAAACTCAATTTTTTTCAGCCAATTGTTATTGCAATAATTTAGACCTTCC